TCACTTTACTGCATTTAATGGAACTGAAACTAATTGCTGTAGTTTTGGAAACATTCTCGTTGTCTTGATGGTAAAGTTTTGGGCTTTCACCAATCATATTGCAAATTTCACTCTGAAATGCTTTTATCTAGTTCCCAGATACTTTCTCACAGTGGTCAGGTTTCTCCATGGAGTACGGCTGCTCCAGGCTTTAGAACTGTAGATGCAATATGTTGAAATGTTTCTGAAGCTTTGTAATGAAAAAAATTTAAATCATTTCTTCTCTGATCTCGTTTGTCTCTCTTTAGCTGCCCTGGTAAGAAGAGAAGTCGACATGCCTTCAAAACCACCAAGTAGAAAAGAGCGAAAGAAGTGGTTCACCTCTCTGACGGGGGAGGTAAGACGTGTTTCATGAGGTACGAGTAGATGGGATTGATGGATACTTTCAGTTGTATCAGAAAACTTTGTTTTAAGTGTTGTCCTATTAAAACAATGAGACTACTCTAACTAGTTTGAGTGCGTGTTGTTCACAATCTCACCAGTGTATGTATGTATGTATGTATGTATGTATGTATGTATGTATGTATGTATGTATGTATGTATGTATCTATCTATCTATCTATCTATCTATCTATCTATCTATCTATCTATCTATCTATCTATCTATCTTTCTTTCTTTCTTTCTTTCTTTCTTTCTTTCTTTCTTTCTTTCTTTCTTTCTTTCTTTCAACGATACCTGAGTCAAATTACTGGAGAGTTGTGAATCAGTATGTCTGGCTTGGTTGCTTTATTATGGCTATTCAGTACTGAGACTTTGTACCTTTCTAACACAATCCAAAGATGATCTTTGCATTTCACTCAGATTGGAAGTAACAACTTTCATGATCTGCAGCTTTTGTTGATACTGTTGTAGCTACAGTGCTCCTTTTGTGCCAGGTGTGGGTCTTTGGTGTTACAGAATAGTGTTCTGTCACCCTCTGGTGGCAACAGAATCAGATCACACATCTCAGCATTTCGGCAACTGATAGTCTTTGTGAATTTGTATAGAGCTTACTCGTTTGCTTTTATCGGTGTGTTGGGACTCCTTTCAGTAAAACAGAACCCCGTGATTAACTTTGAACAGATTTAGCAGCTTTGATCAGACATTTCTATTTGTTTTTATTTTATTTAATTTTTTTGCTGTGGAAGAAGTAGTATAGTGAGTTACTTGTACTGGTCATGGACTTATTTAATTATTATAGTTATAATTATAATCTAATAATAATTACAATTATATAATTATAGTATAATTATAATTATATTAATTATAATATAATATAAGGCAGCACGGTGGTTAGCACTGTTGCTGCACAGCAAGAAGTCCTGAGTTCAATTCCACCATCAGGCCGGGGTCTTTCTGTGTGGAGTTTGCATGTTCTCCTCGTGTTTGCGTGGGTTCCCTCCGGGTACTCCGGCTTCCTCCCACCGTCCAAAAACATGCAGCTTGTGGGGATAGGTTAATTGGATAATCCAAATTGTCACTAGGTGTGAATGAATGTGAGTGCGAATGGTTGTCTGTCCCAGTGTGTTGGCCCTGCGACAGACTGGCGACCTGTCCAGGGTGTACCCTGCCTCTCGCCCTATGACAGCTGGGATAGGCTCCAGCGCCCCTGAAAAGGATAAGCAGAAGTGAAGCGAATGGATAATATATATATAATATTATTTTTAAGTTTCTGCTTTTGAAGGCAGATAGTAATTAACACAGGCGTGTAAGCCGTGAAACATCTGCTGTCTGAACAGAGAGAACTGTACAGAATAAAGAAAGTGAATACTGCTAACATTTGTATACACAGCAGTCCCTCGCTATAACGCGGTTCACTTTTTGCAGCCTCACTGTTTCGCGGATTTGTTTTCTCTGCAATTTTGCATGATTTTTTTCTTACAGTGCATTGTGTTCTGCATCCTGATTGGCTGTAGACCGTTGTCAGTTAATCTTGTGTCTCCTGTAACAGTCAGATAAGTCAAACTTTACTCAACTCATTCTTCTTGCTTCCTCTACTCCCGTACCATTGATTCATTAATGCTGAATTCTCTGGCAGCTGCTCTATTCCCATGTTCTGGACCTGAAAACAGGGTTTGATCTTTGGTTTCTATAATACTGGACTTATTTTTCTACAAAGGTTTGAACTTTGAGAGTTTAAACAAGAGAGAAAAGTGTGAAAATGTTCATGCCTGTCTGAGAAAAGTGTATAGAGTGTGTAGTGAGGGGTTTCACAGCCGTAAAACATCTATAATAATTGTAAAAAATAAAGTTGGCTACTTCGTGGATTTCGCCTATTTTTAGAATGTAACCCCCGCGATAAACGAGGGACTGCTGTACTTATAAATGTTAGAAGTATACTTAACATTTATATACTTATACTTACTAGGAAAGCTTACTGACCATTAAAGCATCAAATAAAAAGTATAGACCCAGAAAGAACTATGCCCATATCTCTTCTGCTTCCTGAACTCCACAAAGGATGTCATCACTACTCATTGTCCATAACTGGGTGTAAAACAGCAACAATCGAACGTATTGGCCTTTCACTGTGTGGTCTTGTTTAGCTGCTCTCTCTGATGTGAAGTGTTGAAAGGAAGGTGGACAATGATGTCATCATTGAATTTTACAGCATTGGAAAGTGGAAGTGATGTAAAAGAATAGTCTGACAGCCAAAAACGTGGGAAAGCAGACAGATGAGTGAAGAAAGTGAACATGCTTATATACAAAATTCAGTTGTGCTTTTTGCCAACTGGACTCTGATGGCCCCTCACAGCAGAATGAAATCCAAGCAGTGATAGAAATTACAGCAGAAGAAAAGAAACAGCAATCTTGCTGTTGTAGGAAGTTCCTTCCTGTTAAAGAACAGATGTATGTTAGCAGCAGCATCGCAGAGGCACACGGTCAGACATAACATGAATAAACATGCATCATGATGAGTTAGAAAACTTAGGGAGGGCTCTGGATAGCAAAGGCATAAAGCAAAGCAGAGCCTGAGCCTGCAGTACAGCTCAGGGGCCACTTCAGGGCAGGAGAGAGCAGAGTCTAAGATAAGGCAGATACAGAGCCTGTGATAAGGCAAGGTGTAGGCGAAGGACAGGACATGAGCAAGCCTGCATTATAGCTCAAGGATGCTGATGGATTCCTGACTGAACTGACTGAACATAATCTTTACACTAGATTAGCATAGTGCAGATTAGCAATTGGAGTTTACAAAGAAGTCAAGGAATCAATTTATAGACCAAAATGTATTCAGACTTTTCACTCATCAAAGTAGCCACGGGATATAACAGCTGGACACACCTGTAGTCGTGGCTCATCATCAAAACACTCCACAAATCCTGCCAGTGATTCACTTCCTTATAAACCATTGAATCAGGTACTTTCCATAGTGATTCCCAGTATATTACACAGAAATAAGTGCACCTTTTCTATTTTTTCATTTGGCTTTTGCTTTGCTCCTGATAAATTGTTTTCAAATATTGTGTATCCAAACTGTGGACATTCCCTTTTTAAGCTTTTGTGAAACAATAAAGGTAAAAACCTGCGTAGTATTATTATTACATTATTATGAGGCCACACATAAAAAACATAGAGCAGTGGCAGCATAACGTCCTCGTAAGTGGATATCAGGCCCTTGTAGAGCACAATGTAGTACTTTGGTCCTTCCCAATGAATCATTCAACTCAGCAAAATGAGCAGAAAAAGCCAAGAACTCTAAAACTTGGGCGGAGTTTTATCCTTCTTCATGTCTCTGCTGGAATTTCCAATGGTGGACGTCTTGTGAACTGCTCGTTCCCAGAAGACGAAGCGAACGACACAGAACATCTCCAGAAATTCCCAGTTTATGCTCTGATCTTACATAAAACACGCTGATATCTACCCACACCACATTATCCTCTCCATCACCAAACGTTCAGCTAATTTAAGGTATTTAAGTTCAGCTTTTAATTTTATGCTATTTTACTTCAGTTGGATTTGTCTTTAGCAAATTCTCACAAGAGCACTCATCTTAGCACAATCCCTTTTAAAGCAGTTAAAGCAATACGTTTTCTTTAAAACTCTGTGTTAGTTAATCACAGTTTACTCAATGCAGTCATCGTTTTACTGAAGTCAGAGGTCAGAGTGTCCTGTGCATCGCCTCGCAGCATCACAACTCTCAAGTTTCAGTTAGGCCTGTCTTTAGAATCGTTATTACATTTTTGCATTGCTCAACTTAAATACAATTATATCTACCTGAGTATATTCTGATTGGCACTAAGTATAGTAAACTGTCAGCAAAACCACATGTGAATCATAATCGTGTTTAACCATTACAACATTTAAAACTACTGACAGGTTGGTTACACAGTTCTGATCTTCTTACTCCCAGAGATGAATATAAAGGTCAGTGATCGATCATGTCCACACCTCAAAATCCAAATATTTTTACTACTCAAATTACATTCGATTATATCCTTGATTAACAATAAAGAATAAAGTTACTATTAGCAAAGCACACACAGACAAGAGTGCTTTAACACTTTATAAATCACATATAACACTCGATGGTGAGTCTTATATGATCCACGAGTGTTTGTTGCCTCCATCATGGTGGTGTTTTTCTCCTGCTCTGCATCAGGTTTTTAAAGATGACAGATATTTAGTTTGGCTCGTTCAAAGTGGAGATGAGCTCTTTTGTTCAGGAGCGTCTGAAAAAAATAACAATCTTGGCTGATTACAGTTATTTTTTAAAGCCACTACATAATCATAACAATTACACGACTCCCCCCTTACTGAACGGTGTTGCTGATAAGTCTCCGTTTTCTCCTTTTGTTAGCTGTTGAATTTTAAAGTTTAGCTGAACAGTTCTGTAAAACAAAAATGCTTTCATGTGTTATATGTCATTTTTTATTCATCATATAATTATAAACAGATAAACAGTGACACACCTGTGCTGTTACATGTTGCTACAGCAGACTCCTGTGAAGAAGGCGCCTCCTGTGACTCATAAAGCCAGTGATTTGCACTCTTTCACTAAAGTTCTGAATCTTTCTTTCAGCAGCGCTGACAGGAAGTGACCTGCCATATGTGCCACAGAGAGCATCTGCATCCCTCCAGATGGAGACTCTGCATCATGCACCTTCTTCTCATTCACTTCTATTCATCTCCTCATTTCCCTGAGCACTCATATGACGTCCATGGCCCCTCCCTGCGCATAATCCCGTCTCTCCGTTCTCTCCAGCTGATCCTTTCTCTGCTGCTAAACACACGTCCGGGTTTACGCACACATATGGTTTACACACACACACACCCACACACACACGCACACCCACACACACACACACACACACGTGGATCACGTCAAGCTTTTAGCCAAGCCTTCTCAGCTCTTACGCGCAGACACACCCTCACACACGTCGCTCGCCCCCACACCTCCCCTTCTGTGTCAGTCAGTGTGCAGCGGCAGCAGCGGAGGGTGGAGGACGTGCTGAACGCAGTCACGGAGGCTTCTGGCGCACAGCCGAGCCGTCATGAGCCGCTCAGCGGAAGTGGACGCCGCTGCGGAGGAGGAGGGGGCTGAATAGAAGAGAGTGAGAGACTGTGTTCTAATTAAATGTCTCACGCCCTCCGTGTGCATCATGCTGTATTTCCAGCTGGTGATCATGGCCGGGACCGTCATGTTGGCCTACTACTTCGAATACACCGACACCTTCACCGTGCACGTGCAGGGCTTCTTCTGCTACGACACCACGTACACCAAACCGTACCTGGGGCCGGAGGACAGCAGCGCCATCCCACCCGTGCTGCTGTACGCCGCGGTGGCCGGGCTGCCCACGCTGCTGGTGAGTGCACACCTGACCTGGCCGCATCAAGCCTCACTGACACTGATTGTGCTGTCACACTGTCGACGGCTGGCTGCTGCTGTGCTGCTGTAGCTGTACGCTGGAGTCATGCAGTGCAGGATGAAATGCATCAGTGCCGTTTGTTTCTCTGTGGCTGGAGCAGAATAAGAGCCTTTAGAAAGTCACTCTAGCTTATGGGACTTTCAAGATAATCAAGGATTATTAGAATATACACTAATGAGATCTGCCCACTAACGCACACTGATCAGTCTGATTCAGTATTCGTAGTATTCACAGAACGAGATGTAACAAGTTTTTGGTGTTTTCAGCTTCCATGTAGCATGCACCGTCTACAGCTTCATCTTTAGTGCAAATTATAATACAAAATGTGAAAGAAGCGGTTCCCCAAATCATAAATGCAGCATTTGAGTCATTGTTTTCCATCACTGAAGATTCTTTCATGTTTATTACATCTCATCATAGAATGAATGACCATCGGGCCACCTTTTCTCAGCGTGGGTATTTTATTTATTTACAAATTTAAATGTTTTTATTAATTAGAAGAAAGAAAGCAAACAAAACATTGAACATCATGAAGGTTAGAAATGTTATAACACTCACACCAAGGACAAACGCTCAGTGTTGTGCGTGGACCCGACTTTGTTGTTTATGGTGCCGATTTTTTTATCTTATCGTTGCTACTTTTGACTGTTTCAGCCACGTCTGCTGGGATGTCTGAAATAAGCAAAAGCTAAAGCGTAATAAAGAAGCTGAAGTGAGAAATCCCTGTGGAGTCAACAGACTCAAATATAGCAGTTGCTGCAGTTCCTCTCTACCCGCATCACAACCATCAGTGTGATGAACTCTTATCAGCTTATAGCGTTATGTTAGCGTACCTCTTTGGCTGCTGCATGCTCAGCTAGATTGACACTGTAACTCTGTAGTGTATATAAATAGTTATTTGTTATCTTATGTGCAGAACTTTGTGATTCTGTGTAGAAAGGTGCTATATAAATGAAATTGCATTTATTATTATTTATTTATAGTTTACACAGTCATTTTATCTGTCTTTGAATTACAGACTGGTGTAGCTTTAAGACTAATCTGCTTGATGTTCACTGAGATACAGTATATAACAACATCAGAGATGATTATCCCTGTCAGAACTCAGTCAGAAAGTTAAAAGGTGACAATTTTGCGGGTTTATTAAACCTGGGAATCATCTGGGAGAGAAGGAGATGATACATACTTCACTCTTTGATGCTCTCACGTCTCAGATGCAGCTCCTGCAGCTTCCTGCTTGATCTTAACCTTTCCTTAGTATCTGACTCACAGTACACTCTACCGTGCTTCCTGGCTAATGTCCAACGGCTCTCTCATCAGCTTTTCCAATTACAAGCCGACTGTGCACTGAAGTTCAAATGCAAGCCCGAGCAGTGCAGCTTGAATGTTAAGTGCAGTTATTACTGCTGCAGTCGCTGACAGTGCAGGCTGAGCTTACGTAGCTCGATACTGGATAGGACTGTCTGCAAGCCCCGAACTCTGCTTCAGCTGCTAGCCTACACACACACACACACACACACACACACACACACACACACAC